TGCTCTGGAGGCCGAGTGCAGAGCCCAGCAGGTCTCTGCCCGGTTAGAGTCAGCATGAGCCCATGTGATGCTGCGGTGTCTGGACAGCTGGGAAGGGAATGAAAGTAAAATTAGGACACCACTTAGGAAGGTCCTGAGACGCCTTGGAGAGAGGGTACCGGTGTAGGCGACAGCTGCAGCGTGGAGAAGGGCAGTGACAGGCAGGGTGACAGGGACACGTGTGTCAATCACCTGCCAGATGTGGGGCCCTGAGTGTCTGGAGAACAATGGAGCCATCAAAACCCACAGTGAGCAGAGGTGTCGGTACACTGTGCACATGAACCCGTGTGTGCGTGCGTGCGTGTGTGTGTGTGTGTGTGTGTGTGTGTGTGTGTGCATGCGTGCGTGTGTGTGTGTGTGCTCGCGCACGTGCATACTGAGCCAAGTGCATGCATGTGTCCTATATGTACAGTCACTCTTGAGTGCCGGGCATATCTCTACATGGAAGCATGTTGCTGTGCTGTGCACATGTGTGCACACTTTCCTGTGTGTGTATATGTATTACATGTGCTGAATACATGTTTGGGGTGGCCCGCGTGCCCTGATGGCTGAGTGGAGTGTGCATGTGGAGGTTCATGAAGGGCCCCCTGCATTGGAGGCCAGCACTCTTCCAAACGAGCCGCGGCCCCTACAGATGCATGTGTGCTTCCTAGTCTGGCTGTACACGGAGAGAGGGGATAATAGCTGAGGTTAGTTCACTAGCAGCAGGGAAGACATGACACCAAGACCATGGCTCCCTAGGGAGCGGAGCCTCGAGTAAAGACAACAGCAACAGCTGTGGCCTGAGCCCGTGAATCATGGGTCAAAGGTCAGGAGCCCAGGGGTGTCCACGTGTGTTCCAGGGACGAGGAGGCCCAGGGTAGCAGGCGCATGGCACACTAAAAGGGACCTTTCCTGAATCATCCTCTAGAATTTGAGTGACGACAGCTGAACAGGACGACAGACATGTTTTCTTGGGACAGGGATGTGCGTGGCCTTCCATCGGCTTTCACCCCGGGGCCTCTGATCTGTCCCCAGTTCCCAGGGTGCTGTGGAGGCTGTCGGGTGGGGCAGGTCCCCTACCTACCTGACCCAGGCTGCCAGAGTGGCTGCCGAGACCACCGTGCCAGTGTCTAACAACCGCCCTTCCCTCTCCTGCTATCTCCCTCTACAGGGCTTCTTTGCCGAGGCCCAAAGCGAGGAATCCGTGGCTCTGACTGACCCAGCTCCCGGGGGATCACCTACCTGCTGCCCTGTAGCTGTTTCTACTGAAAATTCAATCAGAGCGGAGCTGAGTGCTCATATCTGCTATCGGGAAGATCAAAGGGACATTTAACTCTCCCCTCAGTGGAAGCTGCACGAGGTAGGCTGATGCTGGGTCAAACAGGGGCCCTTGTCTTCCCTCTCCCGCAGTGGAAGGTGACTCTGAACTGGAATGCACTGTGCTGAGGGAATGGGGAGGAGGGCCTGGGATGTCCGGCATGACAGGATCGGTCAGGGAGAACAGGGATGCAGGGCAACCACAGGTACAGGTCCCACTCCAGGGCCATGAGCAGAGCGCTCAGTTGCCACCAGGCAGAGGCCACCCAGCTCTATCAACGTCCGAAGACTCTACATGCCTGTTTTGCTTTAAGGCACAAAACTTCGGAAACAATCATTTTACAAACCAGAAAACAGTTTGGTAGCTTTGCTCCTTAAGATGGACAGCCGTGAGTCCTGAACTGCTTTCTTTGTAGACTGGGTCCTGGTGTACCTCCAGTTAGCCTCAAGTCCATTCTGTAGTCAAGGATATCCTTGAACTCTTTGCCTCTGCCTCCCAAGTGCTAGGATCGCAAGAGTGCACCACCAGCACCCAGTCTGTGTGTTCTGAGGATCGAACCTGGGACTTGATGCATTCGAGGCAAGCACCCTACCCACCAAACCACATCACCAGTTTCTAGGATGCCCCACTGATGTGACCTATAGGTTTGAGGGTTCCGGTGTTTCTGTGTGGTCGTCACGCTTTGTAGAATAAGGACCTAGGATGGATCAAGTCCGCTTCCATCTCTGTAGGAAAAGCGCTCAGCATGTTCTCTTCCAACGGCTTGATGAGACCCTGGCCTCAGTTTTGTCCACAGGCTCTTTCTTCCCCCTCCCCTCCCCCCCAAATCAGGAAATACATTCTCTTGTTCTCAAAGCTTGTGGGAAGCCTAATTCTTATACCTGGGCCCCAAGAATCAAATGCAATTTGTGAGTTCTTTCCAGATAAATGTTATTTTAAATCATGCTAAAAAAAATGATTGAGAGAAACATTAGAAAATAATAAGAATTAAAATGAAAAATAAAGACAATAAAGACACAAGATTAGAAAGAAGTAAAACCAATTATTCAGACAGGTTGTAGACTAACCTAAAAAAATTCACATATACACACTTACAATGCACACATACTTACGTGTATACACACATACCACAAATGTACTACACACACAAAAAAACTACACATGAACCACACACACACAGGAGCATGAACATACATACATGCATACACAGGCATACACATACATACACACTGGTGCTCACACACAGGTGTATCCATATATTATACAGAGACACATCAGTGCACACATACAAAAAACACATACGTGAACCCCAGACACACATTCGTACACACAGGTAACATATATTTATACACTTGTATGCATACACACAGACACACACACACAGGTGCACACACAGACACACACCCACCTAACTAGAGCTACTAACCTAGTTTGGACCCCAGGAGCTAGCTGTAGAACACTGTTTTTCCGAATCCCAGCAATGAGCAATCACAAGTGAAAACAGTCCCAGCTTGACACTACGGGAGAGGCTTGCGTACTCAGGAATGAACTCACTGACAAGCACCAGACTGGAAAAGACGGTGGCCTGGCACTGCCCCAAGCAGCTGGGGTAGCAGAGGCCATTCACTAATAAGGCCAAAACAGTGGCTCCCAGCAGAGCAGATTCAAGGCTCTCTATCACAGACCCAGAGGAAACCGGAAAGGGATTACTAAAGCACCTCACACCGGATTGGAAAGGGTCCAGAATCACCCACCAACAACCTTAAAACAAACAGAGAGCATGGTGGAGGCGTTTACTTCCCAGTTCCAAACCTTGTTCCATGAACACTGGCCTAAGCCGACATAAGGGTAAACGGACAAAGTCAGAAGCCACACCAAGCCAACTCTACAGTCAATTTTCAGCAAAGATTATCAGAGACAATCCAGTGGGAGGGGGGATGCCATCCATAAAAAAAGGGAAAGGAGCAGGTGAGATGGCTCAGCTGAAAAAATGTGGTCCCTGCCAGGCCTGACAGCCTGAGTTCAATCCCCAGGACCCACACGAGAGAAGGCGAAACCCAACCTTCCGAACAAAAGCTGTCTTCTGACCTCTCGTGTGAGTGCCAGCATCAACATTTGCACCCCACACACAAATGAACAACTGTAAAAATACTTTATACAAATAAAACAACAATCCGTACACCAAAGATTTAAAAAAAACCTTACCCCAATAAGTCAAATACTAAACGCAAGAGAAAAAATAAACTGAAACTTTTAGAAAAAAGTTGTCATGAAGCCATTAGGCAAAAACATCTCAGATATGACTCTGAGCTCTGATCAAAGAGAAAAATGTGCAAACTGGACTGCATTAATATTAATATTAAAACCTTTCTGTCTCAAATGCCACAAGTGAAATGGGAAAGAAGATATTGACCACAAGAGCACATTTTCAAACATGTCTGTGACAATGACAGGTAACCCAATTCTAAAGGGTGAGATATTTAAATAGACGTTTCCCCAAAGACCATCTAGAAACAGTCAGTTATTCAAACACCCTCAATACCGTTAACCGTGAGGGAATGAGAAATAGAAGCCACGATCGATCGATCGATCAGACGGACAGACGGAGAGCAGCCAGGGGCCAGCTCTGAGGACTCCGGGAACCAGAGCGCCCAGCAGGTGTGTGCAACAATGTAGCTGCTTTAGGAGGAAGGTCTGCTGCTTTCTTTAAAAGTTTAATGTGAATTTACTACTGTACGATCCAGCAGCTCTACTCTGGGGTGTACATCTAAGGAAAACGAATGGCTGTACAGAGAGAGAGAGAGAGACAGACAGACAGACAGACAGACAGACACAGACAGACAGACAGGCAGACACAGGCAGACAGAGACACACACAGAGAGAAAGAGAGACAGAGACAAACAGAAGGACAGAAAGAGAGGTTTGTAAGTTTCACAGGTCACAGCCACTTGGTTCAGAATGGACAGGAAATAGAGCGGATGCAACGGTCCCTCACCTCCCATGCTGGGAAAGGAGGTGCGGTTTGTCCATACATAGCCCCGAAAAGGGAGTGAAGAGCTAACTTAGCACGCAGCAAGGGATGAAGTAAGTCAAAGCCTAGTAGTCAGGGAAAGGGGCAGATGTGGAGATCACAGGCCCCATGCAGGGTGAGTCTCCCACTACGAGAAAAATGCCCGGGAAGTCTAATGCTCAGGCACACAAGGCAAGCTTGCGTGAGGGGAGGGGCCGTCCTGAGGCACAGATGTGTCCACCTGGTGTGAACAGGCGGAGACCTCGCGAGTGAACTGCCTCCATCTGTTTGAGCGGGGCAGCTCTGGGGAACGGTCCCTCGTGTTCTTCACCAGCTGGGGAGGAACTGAGCCAAGTCCTCGCTCCCCCCCGCCCCCTCCCCCCCCCCCCCCGGCTGTGGTGTTACACACTCTGACTCAGGACAAACAACCCACCAATGACCTTAGAGCTTAAGCCCTCTGTTTCCAAATAGCTCATCCCCACACTGCATTGCAGGGCGGGGAATGGGGGTGCAGGGGGCGAAGCAAGTCGCTAACCACTCTTCAGCTCCTCGTGGTACGCAGAACCACGGGCTCCTCCACCCAGAGGTCACGGTGACATGGCCAGATCTCGCAGCTGCTCTGACAGTATCAGACAAAGAAGGGGAACTCACCGATTTTCTGATTGAAAATCTTGTCAAAGGTTATTTCGTTTCTTTCTGCAAGATACCTCTGCATCACGCTCCGGATACTGCAAGATAAGAGCGAGCAGCTGTTAGGGCGCGGGTGCACAGTGCTCGCTCGGGTGTGAGCACACCAGGGGCACTGGTTGAGGAAGCTGGGGACATTCTGGGGATGGGACCTGGCTGGAGAAAGTGGGTTGCTGGGAGCATCACGTACTGCCCGGTCTGTGGGAGGTTTTGGTTTGTTTGTTTGTTTGCTGACCCAGATGTAAGCAAGCAGCCTCAGACTCTAACAACCACAGCTACAAGCCTTTCCTGCCACCATGCCTTACTGGACGCCATAGACTGGAACCGTGGTCTTAGTCAGGGTTACTATGGCTGTGATGAAACACTAAGACCAAAAGTGGGTGAGGAAGGGAAGGGTTTATCTGGCTTACGCTTCCGCGTCAGAGCTGTGGTGGTCTGAGTAAGAATGGACCCCTTAGCCTCATTTTAGAATAAGGAGTAGGGAGTGGGATCATGAGGTGTTGCCTTGCTGGAGGAAATGTGTCACTGGGAGGGTGGGCTTTGGGGTTTCAGGAGCTCAAGCCCTCTCTCTCTCTCTCTCTCTCTCTCTCTCTCTCTCTCTCTCTCTCTCTCTCTCTCTCTCTCTCTGTCCCTGCTGCCTGCGGATACAAATGTAAAACTCTCTGCTCCATCTCCAGCACCACGTCTGCCCTCACGCCACCACGCTTCCTGCCATGATGATAATGCACTGAACCTCTGAACCTGTGAGCCAGCCCTAATTCAATGTTTTTCTTCATAAGAGTTTGTATGGGCACAGTGTCTCTCCACGGCCATAGAACTTTCACTAAGGAAGTCAGGGCAGCATCTCAAGTACGGCAGGACCCTGGAGACAGGAGCCGATGCAGGGGCCATGGAGGGTGCTGCTCACTGGCTTGCTCCCCATGGCTTGCTCAGCCTGCTTTCTGATAGAACCCAGGACCACCAGCCCAGGGACGGCCCCACCCACAATGGGCTGGGACCTCCCCCATCGATCACTAGTTGAGAAAATGCGCTACAACATTTTCTCAGTGGAGTTTCCCCTTCTAACTTGTGTCAAGTTGACATAAAACTGGCCAGCACAGCCTTCAAACTATAAATCAACAGAAGCCCTTCCCCTGTCTTGCTATGCATTTAGTCATGGAGACCAAAAGCAGAGAACTGCTGTTGGGGATGGAGCTCATGGCTGGAACCACCTGACCTTGTGTCCCTTAGGCCTGGTGAGCCAGGTTGCAGAGGAACTTGGAAGAGTTTGGATCTAGGGGCTAGAGGAGCCCTTAATTGCTATTAGCAGAACTTAGAGGGCCATTCCAGGAGATATTCAGAAGGTCAGAATGTCCAAAACACCCAGACAGTGGAGGCCACACCCAGCAGGAGCCACAGGGACCAGAGTTTCCTCCCTTGAGGGCCAGGCTAGCCACCATTCACATTACATTCCGGCAAACAGTGTGGCTGTCTTCTTCCTGTATCCCCCAAGACTTGAGTGAGGTTGAACTAAAATGGGGTGAGGAGAAGAGGCCACCTCAGGGTAGCATGGCATTCAGGCCGGGGTGTGGCTATTGCTCAAGCGTCTTCAGCTCAGTGACAGACAGAGAGCAGAAAGATGAGCATGTGAGAGAAAGGACTAGGCAGGCATGTGAGTAACGCTGTGGTTAAAGTCACTCAGGGGATGTTGAAAAGTTGTGATTAATGAAAAACCTCCAGACTCAGAGCTGGGACAGTAGAGAGTACCTTGCTTACCCGAAGCCCAGGGTGTTGCAAAGCAAGGGCTGAGGCTGAGCAAAGAACACCACCCCCACTCCCACCCCCAGGCATCCAAGGAGAGCGCTTTCTCGTTTCTGGCCACAGAGGGCACTGTGGTCCACAGGGATGGGGTGGGGTGAGGGAGGATGGGGAAGGACTGGGGGTGGCAGGCCAGTCTCAGCTGCCTGGGCATCACATGGTGCTGGTTTTGCAAGAGCAAGGATGCATGGAGGCTCACACCTAGGTCCCAGGCAGCTGCTGAACCCTGGCGGTGTGTGGCAGGGTTGCAGTCCCTGCAGGGAACTTATGAGAAGGGGAAGCCTAAGATGCACTGGGGAACCCGGCGTTATTGGGAGATCCCAGAGACAGGAATGTCTGACAAAGCCACAGGCACCGAGTGGATCAGGCCCAAGAGTGTGGTCATAGATGCCACAGGCAACAAGGGTTGAGGGTGTGGGTGCCCGAGTCTGTTGGAGCCCATATGATGCCACCAAGAGCCGCGACCCTGGACCTGGGGCTGTGGGACCCAGCGTCTGCTCTGCTGTTGGGTCCTGCTTTGCTGGGCCTCTCCTAGGTAGCGCCTCCGTCAGTTCTAGAGTTTATATGTCATTCTTCTGGGGTCTTTGATGGAGGTGAAGACAGACAGTTATGGCTATGGTTTTCCTTAGTTATGATGAAAAGTGAAGTTACATACAAGGGTTTAGACTCGCAAAGGTAGGATGGACGATGGAATATTTTCTTTAATTTTTGCCAAACGTTCGTAGACTACATATTGTTAACTGTAGTTCTTGCTTGATAGCTATTCTGATATATGTATGTATGTATGTATGTATGTATGTATGTATGTATACACACAGACACACATACACACACACACACACACACACACACACATATATATATATATATATATATATATATATAATTTTACTATGGTAAAGTTAAAACCTTTCCTTTTATTTAGACAGAAAAGAGGAGATGATGGGGGACGTCCTTCTGTATATATGTTTCTCTTATTGGTTGAGGACTAAAACACTGTTTGGCCAATAGGAGCAGGGAGACAGAGGAGACTGGGAGATGAGGAGAACGCGGGTGGGAGAGGCGGAGAGGCCGTGAAGAGATGCCATGCCAGATTACAGGTGAGCCACAGCCTTTTGGCAATACATAGATTAATTGAAATGGGTTCATAATTAAGACAGAGCTAGCCAGTAAGAAGCCCTAGCCATTGCCCGACAATTTTATAATTAATATAGCGTCCGTGTGGGACCAGGCGGGACAAGAAACTCCAGCAACAGTCTAGACCTCACCTCACCCCACCCCCTTTTGGAATGGGAATATTTACTGTACTCATGCATGCTGGAAGTCAGGAATATATTTGTAAGGTTGCAGGGACTTACAGTTAAGAGTTTACCTTCAGTCCAGGAAGACACTTTGTACTGTTTTTGGGTTTTTTGAGACAGGGTCCTGTGACTCTCTGTGTGCCTCAGACTGGGCTTCAACTCACAGAGATCCACCTGCCTCTGCCTCCCAAGTGCTGGGGTTAAAGGTATGCGCCACCCAGACCCAGCTGAGACTTTGGACGTTTGGAAACAGTGAGGGCACGCGAAGGCCTCTGAAATGACACTAGACAGAAGTGGCCGTGAGCCCGAGGTGTCCCAGGAAGACAGTTGCGCTTTGGGGTAAAATGTCCCCCACAGGGTCATGTCTCTGAACTCTTGCTTGTGGCTGGGGGCTGTGTGGGTCTTTTAGGGCATGAGGCACAGCCGGAGAAAGTGGCCATTAGAGTATGGGCTGTGAGGCTCACCTTCAGAATCCACTTCCTGTCCTACCTCTAACTTCCTGACCCTTCCAGATGGAAGCAGGCAGCTTCATGCTCCTGCAGCCACATCCAGCTCCTGCCACCACACTGTCCCCAGCACGATGGACTACACCCTCAAACAGTGTGGCGAAGCAAACCCTTCCTCCCTACCGCTGGTTCTGTCAGGCATTTGGTGACAGCAACAGGTAGACCAATCAGTACAATGGCATATTTTAAACTACGTTAAAAGTGCAGCGTGAGCAACCCTGATCATGGGGGGGGTCACTGTCACTGGAGAATATCAGTTATATGACAGAGTCCCCCCACTACTATCCAGGGCCCCAGGAATGGTCCAGAGACTGACAGCAGCCGAGACTCCAGCCACCACCCTCTCCCAGGACCAGGGGCCAACTCTGTATATGAATAATCCAACTCAGAAGATGCCAAAACTCACCCTCAGCACCACATCTCTCTAAAGTATGCGTGAGTATGTGAACATGCACACCGCATACATGCCCCCACACAGATCCATTCATGCATAATACCCCCACACAAGCCCATTCATGCACATATACTCCACACACAGTCCCATTCATGCATACATACCCCATACAGTCTCATGCATGCGCACACACACACACACACACACACACACACACACACACACACACACACATATTTCTTACACAGCCCCCATGCATGCACATATACCCTACGTGTAGCTCCAGGCATGCACATATACCCACACACTCCCATTCATGTATATCTATGTTTCTCACACAGCCCCATACATGCATATATACCACACACACAGCCCCCACGCATGCACACATACCCCCCACTGGCCCAGATATGCACACACATACTCCCCACACAGTCCCATGCAGGCACACATCCCCTGCACACAGCCCCAGATATGCACATAAATGCCACATGTGTAATGAACACACAGCTCTATCCACATGCACACATACATGTGTGTTCCCCCACACAGCCCCAGGCATGCATACACAGAAATCCTGCTATCAATCTTCTCCTTAAATAAAAGCAAAAGGCCATCCCCACCCCAGGGTAGCAAGATCGGGGTTTTGAAATCATTTCCATACACCACCAATTTTTTTTAAAGTGATTAAAAGGGAAAAGTCTACTTACAATAAATTAAAAAAAAAAACAACCTGAAATGCCTTGAAATTAAAATCTTCTAACTCGTGCACAAGACTTTTATGGGAGGAAATTATGAATCACGCGGAGAGAGACGGAGTGGGGATATGCACCGTGGTTATGAGCAGAAAGATTGAACATTAAGGACATTCAAAAATCTGCCAGATTTCATTATAAAGGCTGTCTGAGCCCATCAGGACCCCGAGGGGACTTTCACGGAATGCAGAAACAAGAAACAATTTATATAAAACAACACCGAATCTAGGGCAGCCAGTACATTTCTGGAGGAGGAGAAGTAAGACAACACCAGAGCTAATTATGAGA